AAAATTTAAAGCCCACCAAAAAGGTTAAAAAGTTTTTTTTAAAAAAAAAAAAAAAAAAAAAAAAAAACCTTGCACACACACGTGGAGATTCTGAAAGACCAGAGGTAGTGCCAGGAACAGCCTGCAGCATGAGGGGAAAGGTCTCACCTTCCACAGACTCGAGCCCCAGCTTCAGGTACTTCCATCTACTCCCCACCAGACTTCTTTGAAGAAACAATGTGCTGATACATTAAGAACCCCTTCTTAGAGTAAACGCCTCTGAATAATTCTCACACTTCTGTCTTCTACTATTGCTTCCTCCAAAACTCTACCCCTCAAGCCCAGAAAAAACAAACCCCACTTACAAAATACATTTTGAAATCCTACCAAAATCTGTTTTCTGTTATGTTAACCACTGACTAGTCCACATCCTTCCCTGGCTTTAAGGAGAGCAGCTGCCAAGAAGTGGCCTTCAACTTGCTCAGACTGCAGAGGCTTTGTTACAGAGACACTCCCCTGCAAGAGATGAGTTCCAGCTGGATGTTAATATTTCACATTATTCCCGCATGTTAAACATTTAAAAATATACAAGTTACTTAAGCTTTAAGCAATGTGCTAAAATACAAAGACCAAAGCTTCTCCTTTATTAAGGCTTCAAAAAGACAGTACATTAGTTCTATTCATCTCTGCTCTTGCTGAAACAGGTGAAGTTACAGCTCACTTCACATGTCCTTGGCCATTATTCCCTATTGCACATTCAACTTCCACCTTATTAGTCAGACACATTGTTTCCAGCAGAAACTCCCTCCCATTTGAGCGAGCCCCATGTGTTTAAACAAGAGAAGCTCCCACCAGCACCCATCTCCTCTCACCCCCTTCTTGCTAATGGGGTAATGGATATTCACAATTCTTGTGGTTCCATAATTATGGGTATAAGATGTAGGACTTCCTCCTATTTTTAAATAGTGCTAGCTCATCTCAGAAGTTTAACAAAAATAAAAGCCACATCTTATTGTATGCAACAGACTAATAAAAAGGCTATGTATCGGCATAACAGGCAATGTGTAAGTCTTACAGTTCTGCTTGTGGAGGAAGTTATGCAAAGCCTCCTGGTGTTAAGCATCTGGAAGGCAAGAACACCCCAGCATACTATGAAGTGATAGCTCAGCTCCTGGCAGCTCCTCGCTTGCAGAAGAATCAAGCATGTATTCCAGATACTTAGCACCGCTTCCCTTTGTGTCAGCAGCTCTTGTGAATAGGTCCTGTCCATCCAGGCAAAGACGACACACCTTCCATCTCTCAACCGTGTTATACTTGAGGAAAGGCACAGAAGTTTCAGTCCACATATGTGGAGAATAAAATGCAACCTGGCAGACAGGACAGAACCATAAGAAGGTCCCTCAGGCACGTCCTTGTTACGTCATTTTGTTTGCTGGAGTTGCATCTGTGCCACAGAAGTACTCAAGGCTGTGGGCCCAGAAAGGGGCTACAGAAGCCTTCCAAATTTCAGAGGCACGAGACAGGGATAATTCTACACCTCCAGAGTCAGCTGAATGAAGCAAACAGTAAAAAAAATTTCCTTTGACTTTATGTATGTTACCAAATATACTCAATAGCAAGATCACTGCAACTCTGCAGTCTGTGCTGATGCCTCACAGAGGCCAGAAGAGCATTCTCAGCTGCATTTCCAGTTCTCCTTCTCATCAGCACCTGAAAGGGTGTGTAGTGAATCCTGGGGAGGAGAAAAAAAAAAAAAAAAAAAGAAAAATAGAAGAGATTTCTTGTGAGCCCATTTCCCCTTCAGTCCTTACTGCAAGAGGAGGATCAAAGAATCCCAACCCATCCTTTCACCCACAGGGCCAGGTAGTGTTATACAATCCCAACACTACAGCAGATATTTTGCCACCAAGAGCTGCCCCACCACATTCCCTCTCTGCAGTTTCATCTCTCCTGCCACTACAAGTTTTAATTTGAATGATCTTGCTTCGGAAGAAAAAGTAGGATCTCTGCACAAACATCTCTCATCCTGGTTGCACAAGGCAGGCTTTGCTAGCACAGGATTTTTCTTTACCTGGGTTAGAAGTTGATGACGTCTCAGCTGTCTATAGAACTGCAACACAGAAGGATCAGCTCTCACTACTTTTGGATCAAAATCCAGAACACGGAGACCTGCAAGGCTACGGGCTCGGGAGAGGGCTACATAAGCCTGCCCACTTTCAAAGACACGAGACAGGGAGATCTCCACACAATCTAAAGACATGCCCTATCAAAGACACAGAGAAGTTTGTTACAGAAAAAAACAAAAGAACACTGTGCTGTATCAACACTAACCTGTCCTGTGAGTCTGTCAAAGGTACCACCCTTGGTATACGGGCTTGATAAAAAAAGGAAGTCTCTTGTTTGACTATGTAACTGATTAAAAGATGAGAATCAGTAGAAAGAAAAAGACAGTTTTCCACTGTCAGGGAATCACTAGCAGACAGTAGGGTCCACTAACTCCAGTGAGCCTCTTGTGTGAAACTCCACAAATCCCATATAATCAACACAGCAGGGGAAGAAATTCTGCTGTTTTCACCCCTAGTAATTAACTGGAGCAGCCACCAGTCTCAAGCAGTCCTCAGGCAGATCATCTGAGACAGAGTTTGGGTTAGGCCTGGCCAGCCCTGTCTGCACCAAGAGACATCCCAGGAGGCAGCAGAATTTACAACGTGGCCTGGTTTAAGCAGTGGCATGGGAACAAACTCACAGGTCTAATACCAAGACAAGTATTTATCAAAGCATATGAAGTCTTCTGGAAAGGTAGGAACTGTATTAGTTACACTGAAAAAAACCCAACACACCCCACCAAAGGGGGAGTCCAGCCCAAAGAGCGCAGGTGTGACTCCTGCAGCTTCCTCGGGTACACTGCAGACTTCAGCGTCACTAATGCTGATGACTATCAGGGAAACACTACCCTGATCAACCCACAGCAGTAAATAATGCTGCTTTATCGTCTAACGTCAACTCTGCAGATGGCAGCACCCTATAGAAACTCTAGCAGTATTGCTAGCCCATCCTTGACCTTGTGGACAAGCATCACAAGCAGAAGTGATGCTGCCTTCTCTGTAGCTAGACACACATATTCTAGAGGTCCCCCACAACAAGGGCCTTTCAGTTTTCCCTCCTGTGTTACCAGCAATGCAAGCTCACCCAGAAAAATAAAACTTATGGTGGTGTAAAAGTCTATAGACAGCTGTATAAGAACACCCACCTGACTCTTGTGAATGGAAATGGCCCATGCCAATTTTAAAGGCAACTGTTGACGACTCAGATGAACTCCTGATGGTCCTTTGAAGATCCATTTCTCCATTTTGATGACCTGTGTGACCCCGCAGAGAAACCTCACCTTAGGCAGTCCTGTAGAAATGGGAGCAGGAGAGAAACAGGGATGTATTCCTGACATTCAACAGCCAGGAATCCAGCAGCCTAAGAACACTTTTTTTTTTTCCCTCCTTCCCCATGTCAGTCAGTCATGAATTTTAGGGCTGCATTAAAAAAAGAAAATCCCACACCAAAAAACCAAACCTTAAACCCACACACAGTAAATAGGATGTCCTGAAATGATGTTTGCGACCTACTTAAGCAGGAGAATTAAAGTCAGGTAATTTATCAGTTGAAATGCAGAGAAAAATACACATTGCAGGTAGCAGAATGTTATTCTCTGAGGGAAAAAAAAAAAAAATAAAAAACCCACCAAGACTTGCTTCAACAGAGCAGGCAGGAAATGCAAATGAGCATACACATCTAGAGAATAAAGAAAAGCAAACACAAGAGGCCCTACAGAGAGCTACAGCTGATGCAGCACATGACATCACAACTCATGAGAGCCTCAAGCCTCTCACTGCAGAGAAGACCTCCTTCCTGCTTTCCCTCAAATTATTCTTACCAAGCGGTAAACAAAATTAACAAGTCAGCCGTCAATCATAAATTGTTTTGGTTTTTTTTCTCTTCCTTCAACAGAAGATCAAAAAGCTTACTTACCCTTCTGTTCACTTTCAAATCCTACAACAACTCCTCGTGCCCCATTCACCAGCCCTTGAGACACATCCAGATTCTTAGCTAGCATCACCTACAGAGAAAAAGAAAAATCCCTTAGTGCACTGGCTTTACAGCCTGCTCAGCCACCTGCAGCTAAGCTAGCCAGGGAGCATAAGCACAGCAGGCAGATATGGCCACAGCCACATCATCCTCTTGCAGGACAGAGCACCACCTCCAATTTGATTAAAATTATTTCACAGCCTTTCCTTCCTAGGATTCCCAACTACATCCATTCTGCCGCACTGAACACTTCACTGGAGCTGCTTCTATCCACAGCTGTGAACTCAGATCCAGGGAACAGATTCCCCTTCCCCGAACACCAACCAGCCTAGACATATAGATTTTGGGAACACCTAAGGAACAACTTCCCAAGGCAAACAGTGCTGCTGCTAAGCACACAGCAAGGTGCCCAGTCCTGCAAATCTATCAAGCTGTGCCATACCCTGAGGTCGGGAAGGCTGCCATACCTGGAGCTGAGACTGCAGGCAAGGGCTGCCTGTGCTCTTTGCTACCTGGAGGCTTCTAAACCTGATTGGAAATGTGTGTCAAAGTCACAGCAGTCACCACTGTCCATGAGACATGGACTCGCGCTGAAATCAAACTAATTGTCTGGACAAGATTCCAAGCAGAAAGGATACAAAGATCAGGATAGAGTCTTCTCAACAGAAGAAGGCCTGGCATAGCCACTCGATACAGAATCTGCATTCTATAATCTACTCTATACATTTATCCACTATTCCTTTATTTTTCTTATGCCATTTGATCCACTGGTCTTTCACAAATGTATGTACACACACTCACCTGAGCTCCAAGCTTTAGCTCAACTCTACCACCCACAGGACACTGAGCATCAATTAACTTCACTAGCATTGGGTCACTGTCCAAAGCCTCAAAAGTGTGCACTTCTCCTATTAGGGAAAGAAAGATGTGACAAATGGCAACCATTGAACATATTCCGCACAGCATTGTGGGAGGCTCAGCATTTATTTCTAACGGCAATTCCTCTTTTAATATCCATTCTGTTCTGCTGGTAGGACATCTTCACGCAAACCTTGTCACACCTACCAGCAGAAAGCTCACTATTGCCTCTCTTCCCAACATAACTCCCAGAGCATGAGAAGGCTCAGGAATCAAAGGCCAGCAGTAAATAAGAACTGAGCAGTCATCATTTTGAGCATATGACCAGTTTCACTTGCTGCCAACACCAGATCTCCAAAGAGGACTAAGAAAGAATCCTAGGGCCAGACAGGGAGGCAGAAATGAAATAGCCCTTACTTCAAGTCGTGGCTGGATACAGCACAGCCTTCCTGAGATGCTATAGAAAGAAAAAGCAGGGGTATGGAGGCAATAATGACACACCCTACCTCACAGCAAGCAATGAGCTCACTGTCTACTACACACCAAGAAGTAACAGCGTGCGTTTTTCAGCAAAAAGCTATGAAGATTTCCCCAGGCAGCTCAACTCCAACACGCACAGCTTGAACTGGTGCTGCTGTGCATAACAGAACACCAGTTCCTCCTGACACCACAGTATCCCCATTGCATCCACTCAGAGTTCAGCCCCAGAGCCAGCAGCTTCTTCCAAGGAATTCACCTGATAGCTGTTGCAAGCGTCTCTCATTAGTTATTTCTACATCATCTTTATGGGTGCAGAGCCGCGTCGCCAGAATCCCATCACGCTCAGACCTGTTAGCAGCAGTCTGCATCAGCAGTCTGGTAACCTCCTCTGTGCACCTGGTAACCAGGAAAAGGGGACCGTTACTTAAAGTGACTGGTTACAGGTCTTGAGCAGCAGTAGCCTCCACACAGCTGGATCAGGCTGTGCAAGCCCCAGGCCTCCGGAGAGAAGGACAGAGAAAGATAACGACACAAAGCTGGAGAACAGTGCAAGTGTGTGCCCCACCCTGCCCTGGCCACTGCCAGCTTGGGATCCATTGAATTCCTTAGCAGAAATTGCAAAGAGGGACCCTAGAAAGGGTCCTTCCTTACCAAAGCAGCATATATAAAACCTGCTTACATTAACTAAAGCATTTATAGCTATTGCCCCAGCCACGCATTACTGATAGAGCACAGAGAAGCGGCAAACCACTATAAACCCCTCTTTCCTCTGCCCCATCGGTAGGGAGCAAGGATGACAAAGAGAGATGAGTTTCTCCTCACCTGCCTAAACGGACGGCACTCAGGAGCGAGACAAAGGTCTTGTCAGTCTGTCTCCGCACTTCAGTCAGCTCCATGTTTATGTGGATGCATTTCCTCCAGCTTTTCGCCTGGCAAATCATTCTCTTGTTAAGAAACAGGCAGACTTGAAGTATGAGAACGAGTTTAGGGACAGTTTTGTACCTGGAAGCAGAACTTGGTTTCTTCATTAGCCTTGCAGACTGGGGGTAGCTGCAAGAAGTCCCCGCAGATGACTAGCTGAATTCCTCCAAAAGGCTCATCCCGTTTTCTGACTGCCCTGAAAGGGAGAGAAGAGAGGAAAAGCTTTGAATGCCATCCAGGACCTGGACATAGTCAGGTCTCAGAAGTTACTTCTTATTCTGCCAGCACATTCAAACATCCACCACCTGCAGCAAAAGATGATTATCCCCAGCTGTGTCAGAAGAGCTCAAATAATTAAGGAATGCTGTTACATGACATTGAGTTTGCTTTGCTTAACCAACCCAGATGTCATTACCGGTTTTGGTTCTTTGGTAGCCACTATACTACAACTGCTTCTCTCTGCAAGAGAGCACCGCTGGGCACAGCCTCGACAGCTGTGTTCTGGGCTCAGCTCTATAGGCAACGCTTGGCTCTGGAGATGAGAAGAGCAACCAGAACAGCTAGGGAGCGGGGACATCATCAAAACTCATCTCTAGATACAGGTCTGCTCAGACACTGGCTATGATTTCATGCTTCCCTCCAGTCCTGTGCCAGCAGTTGCTTTGTATCCTTTCGTATAACCAGAGGAAGGAAGCAGCCTGGAAATTTAGGGAAACTCATTTCTGTTAGTTGTTTGACCTGACAGTCACTCACCTCGCCACTGCCTCCAGCCTGTCAAAGAACTTGCCATCCACCATTGAGATCTCGTCGATAATTAAGTGCTGGCAGGCCAGCCAGTGCTGGCGCACCCCAGGCCTCTCCGCCAGCTGAATACACTGTTCCAGCGGTGCCTTCCCAGAGCCGATCCCTGGCAGGGGAAAAGAAAGCAAAGCTTTGGGAAGCTCCTGACTCTTTGGGAAGGAAGCGAGAGCTCCCAGCCCCTCGCTGTTGGGCAGGCTGTCACCTGCGAAGGCGTGCAGAGTGGTGCCACCGATGTGGCAAGCCGCCACTCCCGACCGCTCCTGG